CAGGCCACTTGGTGTCTGGAAGTGATGGCTCCAGACAGGCCCCAGAGCCCCAGACCGTCCCTGCTGGGAAAGATGAAGCAACGTGAGGGTGAAATTATGTTTTCAACAAAAGAAAAGACCTCTGCCTCCTAGCGTGTAGAAAGATCTCGTTCCCACCCCCATGCAGCCCCAGGGGCCTAAAAGAATGTGGTTTTCTGAGCGCAGCCTTCCCTCAGTGAAGGGGGTGGATTTGCTCTTAAAAAGTTGCCTGTGAAAGGAATTTTTCTCCATCAGACGCTATTTTCCAGCGGTTCGTGTTTTAAGACCACGGTTGCATTCCCACCCAGAGATGCCCAGCTCTGAGGCCGGGTACCGAGGATACCGCCAGCACGAGGAGTGCAGAGTTCAAGGGCGCAGTGTGGCCCATGTGCCGGTGGGCTGCGAGCTGATGAGCTGGAGCTACAGAGTTTGGGAACGAAAATCTGAGTCCAAAATGGTCCCCAAATAGGCTGAGGTCCACCGCCAGACACTGGCCCGGAGCCCTGATCAATACCGTTGATTGTAAGACCGGTGGGACCAGAGGGGACCCAGGGCAAAGCGGCCCCACAACTGGAAAAAGAGGCCAGAGGGACTGTGCGCTGGGGGAGGCGGCCGTCTTGTCTTTGTATCCAGCGCCTCAGGCCACACTCTGAATATCAGGCTGGGAGTGTTTTTGTTTTCATAAATGGGCACAATTGTTTAATGTGCCCGAGGAGCCTGCTGCCATGATGGTTTGCCTGTGTTTCCCAGAGTGCTCTGAGGCGGTGAGGCCAGAGTTCCACAGAGACTCCTGGGAAATGCTGGGTTAGGAGAACGCTGGGCTTCGTTGCCCAGCGGGGCCTGTGCTTGATGTACCAAGGAGCACTGAGACTCTCGAGTAAGAGACTGAAGTGCACAGTCTGCTCACACTCGTGGGCCGTGGTTTTCCAGAGCATAGCCTGCGATAAGTATTCCAAGGACTACACTTTGGGAAGCCAGTCAATGAAAGGCCCTGGTAGCTAAAAGCTCTCCCTGTTCCTGTATTAGTTACCTCCTGCTGTGTAACAAATCACCCCAAACTTAGTGGCTTAGAACAATAAGCATCTATTATCTCAGAGTTTCTGTGGGTCACGAATTCAGAAGTGGTGTCACTGGCTGGTTCCGGCTCCTGGTCTCTTTGGAGGTTGAAGTCAAGGGGTCGGCTGGGGCTGCCATCATCTGACGGCTTGACTGGAGCTGGAGGACGGGCTTCAAAGACGGTGCCCTCGCAGGGCTGGCAAGGTGGCGCTTGCCATTGTCAGAGGCCTCGGTTCCTCGCCACAGGGACCTCTCTGTGGGGCCGCTTGAGTCTCTTCACTATATGGCGGCTGGTTTCCCCCAGAGCAATGCAAGAGAGCAAGACGGAAGCCACCGTGCCTTCTGTGACCCAGCCTTGGATGGTCCCTGCAGTCATTTCTGCGGTGTCCTATTGCTCACCCAGGGCAGCCCTGTTCGTTGTGGGAGGAGCCAGAGAGGTGTGAACACAGGAGGCAGGAATCATCGGAGAACATCTTGCAGGCTGACTACCAAGGTAACCATGACTCAGGACAAGGACGGATAACTTGCCTCATCCCCCAGCTGGTTTCTCACCCTTTAGTGCCAGTTGGTGAGTGAGGACTGAACCTGCTCACCTGTGCTGTGAAGGCGGGAAGAAGAGGTCTGGGACTTATCAGCCACGCCCAGCCCCAGGGAACAGCAGCAATAACAATCATCCAGCCCCTTTGGGGGAGCGCTCACCCCATGCCAGGTGCCTCCCGGACATCACGGCCGCTGCACAATCCTTGTCCCCAAGCAGTAGCTTCCACCAATATTTCCAAATCAGGCCACTCATTCTATGAAATGCATAAAATGAGATTTTTTTCGTGATAACGGCTATAGCCACACCAGCAGCTCTGCCTTCTGGAAGTTCAGAGACAAACTCCTGGCCCAGGTGAGCCCAGCTGGAGATTGGAGTGGAGAGCAAACTGGGGTGGGTTAGATGCTGAAGATAAACAGATAATAGGGGAGATGAAAGCTTTATTTCATGGACAGTCGCAGACGAGGAGTCAGGGCGAGCCGGGGGGATCTTTGCTTTATGGAGCCTCGTTGCTGTGACAAGTGGTCACATCCCCAGGCTGGGAGGCCGTGAGGCCCGGGGGTGAGGAGCGTGCACCTGGTGCGTCCCGGGCCTGCCCATGTCTGTTACTCGCTGTGTGACCCAGGCAAGTGACTTCATGGTCCTCAGTTTCCCTTCTATAAAATGGGGTGATGATGGCGAACTCCTCCCGTCATGATGAGGATTCAGAAGGTTCCGGAATGCTTTTTCATGGCCGAGCTGATGGTGGGTCATAGAGGTGGTGGCCCCCAGGTTCGAAGAACTCTTGTAGAAATGCCATTGCCTGGAAGGAGGCTCGGTCACGCTTATGACCAAGAATGGACCCATCGGCTGCTGCCCAGGGATCCTGCAGGGTGACCCCTGGGACCTGGAAGGAACCCAGCCCCCCTTCTGCTGGGGGCATGTGCGGCCGTGGAGCCGGCCAGGCCCCTTCCTGTCCTGTCGGGGCACAATTTCAACAGAGGGAGCGTCCTTGGCGTGTTTTGCCCTCTCAGCTCGCAGCCGCTGAGCAGGACCTGGGGAGTCCCAGCCAAAGGCCAGGCCAGGAGACGACCCTTGGAAAGCAGGACGCAGACCTGCGCCCCCATCCTGCAGCCTGGGCCCGGGCCCATGGAGGTGTTTGGGCTGTAGGTGCTCAAGGCGGGTCCTTGGGGCCAGGCTGGCCTGGGGGCACTTGGCTCCATCCCTCAGAGCTGTGTGACTCTGGGCGAGTGCCTCCACCTCCCAGGACCTCGGTTTCCCCATCCCTAACATCTGCGGCTGGGCTGGCCTGCTGGCCCTCAGTGGGTTTGGAGGAGCCCGGGGCTGGCCAGGAGGGCCCGGCGCCCACGTGGGTGTGTACGGGGTGGACCCAGACCACCCCTTTCCTCTCCAATCGGGCAGCTCCGTTTAACCGCTGGTATGTTGGTGTTCTGAGTAATACCTCATTTAAAAAAGAAGGAGGAGAAAGAAAAGGAAACGTTCTCCAGCGAAAGAATACAGTCCAGAAGTTTCCGCTAACTTACTTTGTCCCTTGGCTCATTCCTTCACGCTCTGAGGGGGCAGAGACGCGGACTCCCTCCGCCAGCTAGGTTCAGCGACCGTCCGTTTCCAAACGGTTCCTGGTTTTCTGGATTTGAATCTCTGGTTCTTTCAGCCTCTGTGAAGGCCCATGAGAGAGGGAGACCAGAAGGGGGCTTGGGTTGAGGGTCCTCAGAGGTTCTGGGGTCTCCTCTGTGGGTGCCAAGGTCACAGTGGGCTGGGCCTCCTCTCGGGCCACGCGCCGTGGGCATCTCAGATGCATGCCCCTCGGCCCCCGGACCGGGCACACCCACGGGGCCGGCCCAGCGCTGCCCCTCCACCTGTACTGGCAGCCTCAGCCGGCCTTGCTGCCTCTGGGGCTGCTTCTTCCTCTGTGAAGTGAGGAGGCAGTGGGCCCAATGATCTCTCAGCCCCTTCTAACTTCAACGCTCTAACTGCTGCATTTATTGAGCTCCGGCTGTCTGCAGAGTGGCCTCTGGGGTGTGGGGGGGCGGACCCCAGCCCGGGACAGGAGCCCGCCTGCTGCCTCCAGCTGGCCTGGGAATGGTGGAGCTCAGAGTGGCCCTCCCAGCCTCAGGAGACCCCAGGCCAGGCCCAGCTGCCAGGCTGCCATTTGAAAGGCCTCCTGTTGGTGGCACTTTGGCATGGTTTGGGTGCTCTGTCTTAGAGCAGATCTGGTTTGTCCCTGAAAACACGCTGGCTCCCTCTCCGTCAAGGTTCTGTTTTTCTCTCCAGGGAATTTCAGTGCCTCGAGCTAGACTGGACCATGTGATTCCCCAGGTGAAACCCTTCCGTGGCTCCTCACTGCCCTCAAAGACAGTCCAAGCCTGGGAGTGTCCCAGGGCCTTCTGGGGCCCGGCACAGGCCAAGCTCTCCCTCCTGGGGGCTCTCCACCCCTCACCCTCTCTCCTCCAGACACACAGACTAGACCGTGTCCACTTCTGTCTTCTCTCTAGAGCCTCACGCTTGCTCTCCTCTGCCTGGAATCCTCGCTCTCTCCTCTTAAGGCTGGCTAAATGTCACTTCCTCCAGGAAGCCCTCCCTGCCTAACTGCGCCTTGAGTTCTTGCTCAGGCTCACACCATCCTTCTCCTTCGCATCACTGCTCATGGCGGTGATCTCAGATTGCCAGTGTATCTGGAGCGCGGGCTGTGGGATTTTCATGCCTCGTACCCGGCGTAGGCCCGGCCCCCAGGGGCAGCTCTGGAAAGCTCTGCTGAGCAAATCCAGGCCTGGAGACTGTGTGCGCACGACCTGCAGCCTGTTGGTCCAAGTTGGCAACCAGAGGCCAGCTGGGGCCGCCAGCCATTCCCCTGCGGGTCACTCGGGGCCTAGAAAGCCCGGTGGCCAGCGCACAGCCGTCCTCGGGCCGCTGCCTGGAAGGAGGGAAGGGGTTAAGCGTTTCTGGGCCTCGTGCTGTGTCTGCGGCAGTTCCCTTCCGCAGCAACGGAGGTTGGGGAGGAATGTTTGCAATGCAGCGCAGGGCGGGGGGAGGGCGGGCTGCTGGAAGTGGGGGCCTGGGGGGGCCGCGGGCCAGGCTCCCCAGTTGAGCAATCGCCCAGGCCCAGCCGGTTCCTGTAACTCCCGCCCCTCCCGCTTTTCCCGCCCTGCCGGCTTCCTCCACCCGCCGCCTGCCGGGCAGTGGGGGCGGCCTGTGCTCTGGGGCCTGCAGAGGGAGGCTCAGAGAGCAGAGGCCAGGGGTGGAGGGAGGGGCTTCCGGGGAGAGGCAGAGAAGGAGTGCAGGCAGCTCTGCCAGCTTGGCCCAGAGAGGGCAGGGTCTTTGCCCAAGGTCACACAGGGAGGCCCAGCGAACTGGGCCACACCCTGATTCAGCCTTTTTGTTCCCGTAGCTCCAGGACACAGCTCGATGCAGCTTGGAGGTCATGCTGCCACTCAGATGAGAAGCTCCGGATCACAGGGAGCTTCTCCCACCTGAAGGCAAAGGCCCCCAGCCCTGGCTGGCTGCTCAATCAAGCCTAGAGTTTCAGAGAGGATGCCAGCTCTCTTCAGGCTGGGCACACCTGCCCCCCACCCCCACCCCAGCACTGCCCCCTGCCCTGCGTGTCCTGGGGACCTGGTCACCTCCATTCCTTGCCTCCAGGAGCGTGGAGTGAATAATGAAGGCCAGACTCAGCGGCTTCTGGAAAGACCACCCTTCCTCCTTCTGGTTCCCTTCAAGGAAGGACCTTCATGGCCCCCAAGTACCACAAATCCTAGGCTGAGCCTGGGCACAGAGCGGATTTCCCTCTCTGGGCACACACCTATGGGGGGCGGGGGTGGGGAGCAGCATTCCCCTCCGCTGCAGAAGGAGCTCCATCTATGTTGGCAACCCGATTCGAATCCCGGTTCCACCACCTTCAAGCTTCGTGGCTGCAGCACCTCTTTCTGAGCCTCAGTTTCCCCATCTGGAGAGTGGAATTCAGAGTGGGGGGGGTGGAGCGGGCAGCATGGTCTGGTTCTGCCGAGGCTCCGGGCCACTTGCCCTTCCTGGTCCCACAGATGTTCAGCCCATTCGGGGCATGCTCGGGTGCCCCCCTCCCGGCCCTGGGCTTTGCCTGAGCTGCAAAGGATGATGGGATGGGAGCCCTCAGAGGTGCCGCCTTGGCCGCATCTCGCTGGAACCACAGTGGAGCTCCTGGGCCATGTCTGGAGGGCGGGGTAGGTGATCCTCGTGGGCTGGAAGCTCCTGTGAGAATACCCCATTTACAGGTGAGGGGGCTCGCAGGGGGAGTGGCCGGCCAAGCCCTGCGACATAGAGAGATTTTAACCTGGAGAACCACGCCAGTAACACCAAGGGCCCTCCTACACTCTGCTCTGCCCCCATTTACCTGAGTCCTTACTGCGTGCCAGGCAATCACTGACCTACTTTAATCCAACAACAGCCTAAGAGGAGGGTATATTGATCCCCAATTTTTAGGAAACAGAGAGGTTGATGCACTTGCTCAAGGTCACACAGTTTGCAAAGAGTGGAACCTGACTTTGAACTCAGGCCACCTGCCTCCAGAGCCTGTGCTCTTGGCCAATCTCCTCTGCCCCCGGCTTGGGATCCAAGCTCTGTAGAGAGGGCCGGGGCCACCTGGGGTTAGCCGCTTAAGCCCCAGAGGCCCAGAGTGAGGGAAAAATCTCCAGCACCCCGCGGGTCCGCGAGGGCTGTGCGGTCATCACTACCACCGGGTGCAGGGAGCTCAGAGGGGCCAAGCCTCTGACTCTAGGGAGCGCAGCCGGCTCCGCGCCCCCTGGCTCCCTGTCCAGGGGCTCCACAGAGGCCGTGGTCGGAAGGACCCCCAAGCCAGCTGGGTCCCCTGACAGACGGACAGAGGACCTCTCTCCACACGCAGCCTCCCGCCCCGGGGATGCGGGCAGCGCGGCCTGCCACCTCCTCCGGAGCAGGTTTCCTTTAAGACGGCAGAAGATTGATTTCCTGGCAGGCTGCGCGCGAGGAGCGTCCACGCGGTTTGCATGTCTGCATTTTTACGGCTCCGTTTAATATGTATGCAAATACCCGCCGCCGCCGCCGCCGCGCACGCGGCCGTCCCGGCCCGGCGCTGGGAGGCCTGATAGATGGGGCGGGACGGAGACAAATGACGGGCTTTTCTAATTTCTTTCTCTTTTCCGGAGGCTGGGGAGAGGGGGGCTCAAGACTGGAAACCACAGAGGAGATTTAAATATATGCAAAATTGTTGTGGGTTGGGGCGGGGTCTGGAAACCTGAGCCGGGAGGAGAGCATTCCGTGTTTTCCTCGGTGGCAGTCGCGCAGGAGGTGGCCCAGCCCCCTGAGACCCCTGTCACCTCCGGCGGAGGGAGCGGCTTTGCTCCGGAGAAGCCGACTGCTTCCTCGGGAAGCGCAGCCTCAGCGCAGAAAGAAGGAAAATGCGGGTTCTTTTCGGCCCCATCCGCCAGGAGGCCGCTGCGTGTGTCCATCGCACCCCCACTTATTTCGTTGGGCTTCCAGAGCTTATAACTTTATAGGTGTGATGTCACTTAACTCTCACGGTTGCCCTAGGAGGTACATCACACCCATTGTACAGATAGGGAAACTGAGGCTCGCAAGAGTAAGGTCCTTGGGGAGAGTTGCAGAGGGAGGTGGGGGGATGCACTCCCAGAACCGCAGCCCTCAGCCATCTCCAGCTCTGTGGGGTGTGCTCCCAGCTATGGGGGGTGGGGCGGGCGCGGAATGTGCCCAGACTAACCCCCAACACACAACCCATGCTCCCCCATCCCACCTGCCCCACCTGCCCCCACCTGCCTGACTCAGACTGAGCCTGCATCACATAAGCCCGCATCAGATGGGGCCTGAGACTGAGCCCCAAATTTTCAAAATATTATTTAGGCCTAAAATTTGAGGTGTAGTTTTAATGGAATCTTTCCTAATTTCTGAGGATTTCAGGTGACGGACGGGGTAGCTGGGGGCAGCCTGGAGAGTCCTGTGAGGACGGAAACGTTTCACAGAGGGGGCGCCAGCCTAGAGAGGGGGCTTCTGGAGCAGACAGCTCAGGCCCTCTGGGGACCCGAGTCCACGTTTGTGTGGAGTGTATGTGTCAGTGTGTGTGTGAGGCTGGGATTGTGTGTCCGTGCACACACGTGTGTGTCAGTGAGCGTGTGCATCGAGGTGGCAGCAGCTGAGACCGCCATACTGGCAGCTGGCATGCGAATTTCCCTGCGGGCTCCCATCCCCGTGGGGTTTGGGCCTCCTGTCTCCCCCACCCCCACCCGAACCTGCTCCCCTCTCCAGGGAAGCCTGTGCTGCTTCAGCTGCAGAACGGGGGTAGGACGGGGGCTGGGGACTTGAGAAGACTGAGGCACCCCTAAAGGTCTGCAGCCATGAGGAGGACTTGGTTATGGGGGATGGGGTGTAGCCTGTTGCCTGAGAACTCTGGGCAGGAAACGAGGGGCGCGCAGCTCCCCCAGGAAGCTCTCCCTGTGTGTACATGTGTGTGCATGTGTGCATGAGTGTGGCGATCCAGACTAGCATATGTCCATTCATAAAATGCTCCTCCTCCCCACCCTCTCCCTCCCCCACCCCCACCCCTTCTCTCTCCCACCTCCACCCTCACCCCTCCTGCCTCTCCCACCCCTACCCTTCTTCCCATCTCTCAGGTTCACCCCGCCCTGGAGTGCCATGAGCCATCTCTCCTGGAGTCTCCCCCCTCCCTGCCCTCCTCCCCCCTTCCCTGCCCCTTCCCCCGACTCCCCACCTCTCCCCTCCCACATAGGTGTTTGTTTGTTTCCTTCTGTCCACTGTCGTCTCCCCCACAGGAATGTGAGCCCCATGAGAACCTTGAAATGGGGTGCTCAGCACCCCTCTGATGTCTGGGAGCATCTCGGGACCCCTCCCCTGCCCAGGCCGAGCTCCTTCTCCAGGCTCAGGTCTTCTCTGGTGGGGCTCCTGCACCCCGGTGTCCATGGAGCCCACCCAGACAGGGACCCAAGTCCCATGCCCTCCCTCGCCTCGCCTACGTCTTGGGACAGTCCCCCTTCTTCAGGCCTCCTCAGGGTGTCCCCTTCCTGAGCTGGCCTGAGCCACCATCCCGGCACCCACAGTGCTGAGAGCGATTGTCACTGGAGCCTATTGGCGTCAGCACGGCAAGAAAGTCCTTTCCATGAGAACCGCTGTGAGTGGACATCAACGCGGCCCCTCTGAACCCCTGCTCCCCTGGGGGCCTCTGAAGCGTCCTGTAAAGCCAGCCCCGCCACCCAGAGGCCCGAGGGTGGTGAGCCCAGGGGAGAGTGGAGCCCTGGGTCTCCCTGGAAGTGATGACTGTGTAATTCTTGTTCTCACCTGCCCCTGCTGCAGGAGGGCGGCACTGGGTCTGCGCTGGGCCTCCCGCACCCCGGCCGGCCGCACACACATTCGCTCTGCAAATAGCTGTCGAAACAGACAAGTGGCAGGTGGCGGCCTCCACAAAGGCATGGGCTTTGTGACATATCTGGCGGGGACTCCAGTCGGTGGCCCCCTTGGAGTCTGCACCTTCGCTCCCTAGCTGGTTGGGGGCAAGGGGGCTGCTGTGTGTGGACTGGCTGAGTCAGGACCCAGCCCTGGGCCCGGGGCCACCACGGCTCTCGCTGATCTTGCTGACGGGGCTGAAAATGCGTCTGCGCGGCCCTCTGCAACCTGCCATTACTCACGGTCGGTGTTTAGCCCCAAGCCAGGGGTGACCGGCGGACCGGCAGGAGGCTCGGTGTGTGCTGAAGGAGGGACGGCCCGAGGCTGGGCTGCGAGAGGCACAGCGGGAACCGTGGGCAGCTGCTCAGAGCGCCGTGACCATGTTTTTCTGAGCTGAAAAATTAGGACACGGGAGGTAGCTGAGGGTTTTCTCAGATTTGTTCATTCAATGCGTGGAAAAGTCTTACAGAGGTATGAAAGTTGAAGCTTATTTGGTTATATAAGTAATGGATTGTCTTTGTTGAAAAGAATCTGAGTTTCCAAAATCAGGGAGATTCTGGGAATCAGTCAGTCAACATGACTCACATTCTGGGGGCACCCGGGTCAGCCCTGTCCTTGGTCCTTGCACTGTGACAGGGAGTGTGAACCTGGCCTCACAGAGCTCTTGTGGGGAGGCTGACGTTGCTCCAATAATTTCACAATTCAGTACTGTGAGCACCTGTAGGCACCGTTCGAGCATTTAGGGCTGTGAGGGCCCAGGGCACCCATGTGGACCGGGGCTGGGATGTCCAGGAAGAAGCGCATTTCAGGCAGGAGGAAGAGCATGTGCAGAGGGCCTGTGGCAGAAAAAAGTGTTGGGTGTTTGCGGAACAGGAGGCAGCCCAGGTGACTGGAATGTGACCAGTGAGGGAAGAGGAGGTTGGACATGTCAGCAGGGGCCAGTCCAGACAGTGCCCACGAGCCCATAAGAGTGTGGTAGACTTTTTCCTGCCAGCAATGGGGAGCCATGGACTGTTTGACACAGGCGTGACCTGGTCATGCTTCTTGATGTTGATGAGAAGGAGGAGGATGATGATGTTGGTGATTATACGCAGTGCTTCGTGAGCGCTGACCATGCGCCAAGCACCATTTCAGCCGTTTTACAGATGAGAAAACGGGGGGGTTGGGAGGGGAAGTGACTTATCTAAGGCCACACAGCTGGTGAACGGCAAAGATGGAACTCGGACTGAGTCTGTCTGGATCCTAAGTCCCTGCTCGCATCCCACACACAAAGCTGCCCTTGTCCGGAAGTGGAAGGCCAGGGGGCGTGCAGATCACCCCACTTCCTGCTGCGCTGTGGGGCCGCGTCCTCTCTGCTCGGTGTCCCAGGCCTGGGTGGGAACTGACAGTCACAGGGTCAGCTTGGGCTGGAAAGGCCCAGCTCAGTTCCTCCTCAGGCCCAGCGGGGGAAGTTGGGCTTGCAACATCCCACGGCAGCTGAGGTTCTGGAGAAGTTGGGATCCCAGCCTGTCCGCTGGGGCACGGGTCACACTGCAGCCCCGGGAGCACAGGCCCAGTCACCTGTTTGGGAGCCGAGGACTTTGAGCTGCGGCTACAGCATCCCTCCCGAGTAGCACAGCACCCCGGCCCCTGCTCCCTCCCGTGGAAACAGACCTAGGTGTCTGCACCACTCTAGACTCACCGGTGGCATTTAAAAAATCCTGCTTCCCTTGTTGATCATCAGGGAAACGCAAACCAAAACCACAGTGAGACCCCACCTCGCACCTGTTAGGATGGCTACTGTCAAAACCCAGAAAGTAACAAGTGTTGGCGAGGATGTGGAGAAATTGGGAGCTCGTACAGTGTTGGTGGGAATGTCAAATGGTGCAGCCGCTACGGAAAACAGTATGGAGTTTCTCCAAAAAATTAAAAATAGAATCACCATATGATCCAGCAATTCCACTTTTGGGTATGTATCCAAAAGAATTGAAAGCTATATGCGCGCCCGTGTTCACTGCAGCATCATTCACAATAGCCCAAAGGGGGGGAGTCACCCAACAGTCCATCAACAGATGAAGGGACCAACAAAACGTGGTGTAGAGTATACATTACAGCGGAGTACCAGTCAGCCTCAAAAAGGAAGGAAATTCTGACACTCGCTTCAGGACGGGTGAACCTTGAGGACACGTGCTAAGTGAAATAAGCCCGACACAAAAGGACAAATACTGTATGATTCCACTTATATTAGGTACTCAGAATGGGCAAACTCACAGAGAGGAGAACAAAGGAGAAGGTTGGATGCCAAGACCTGGGCTGTGAGGGCGGGGGGGAGGGGCAGGATGGAGAGCTTTGTTTAATGGGTACAGAGTTTCTCAAGATAAAAAGAGTTCTGGAAGGGCTGGCCCCACAGCGTAGTGCTTAAGTCCGTGTGCTCCGTTCTGCGGCTGGGGTTCCTGGGTTCAGATCCCGGATGTGGACCTGGCACCGTTCATTAAGCCATGCTGTGTTGGCATCCCACATAAAATAGAGGAAGATGGGCACAGATGTTAGCTCAGCGACAATCTTCCTCGAGCAAAAAGAGGAAGATTGGCAACAGAAGTTAGCTCAGGGCCAGTCTTCCTCACACACACAGAAAGAGTTCTGGAGACGGATGGTGGTGATGGTTGCACAAGAATGTGACTGTACGTTATGCCACTGAACTGTACGCTTAAAAATGGTTACGATGGCAAATTTAAAAAAAATCGTATTCTAAGTTCTCTCAAGTTGTCAACAGTGGGCTTTCTTTTAAGTTGCATTTACAAGAAATAAATTAAAATATCAGATGGGAGTTGTCATTAGAGCAGTTAAGAATCACAGATGCCGTATTCCCGGGCAAGTGTCCTCCCCTCCCGGAGCCTGAGTTTCCTCACGGGGTAATGGGGATGATGATGGTGCCTCCCTCTGGGGCCACTGCGAGGATTCCATGATGCCTGCAAGGTGGTCCAGCGGAGGCCGGCGTCCAGGAAGCACTCAGCACCCAGCAGTCCTTAGTCCTGGCAGATATGCCCCAGGCGTGTGGGGTTTGGGAACAGGAGCAGCACAGGCCCTAGTCAGAGGAGAAAAGACCCCTTGCCTGACAGTACACCTGGGGAAACTGAGGCCTGGAGGAGTCAAGAGACTTGTCCAAGGTCTCTGGGCTTCCCTTGAACCAGAATGTGGTTTTCCACGTCTGTATCGGTGAGCAAGGCTCGGTTGTGCTGCGTAACGAGCGAGCCCCACATCGCAGTGTCTCACACAGCACAAGTCTGTTCTGCATCCAGCAAAGTCTGCCGTGGGTCCAGGAGCTTCTCCAGGGCAACTGCCCTCCACGCGAAGGCCCAGGGATCCAGGCTGCCTCCCGCTGGTGGCGCCTCCATCTCTGGGTCCCCGAGGCAGGGAAAGAGCATCACGTCCCTGCCTCCCACACTCCACTGGCCAGCACCAGTCACATGGCTTCACCCCACGCCTGAGACGGAGAGGAGAACCATGGGTAAGCCCCGGAAGTTTCTTCTCACCATGCGAGTGGGACGAAGGCCAGTGGACAGCTGTCTCCAGGACATGCTCACAGTGAACTGAGTCAGAGAGAAAAGGGTTTGAGGCTGGAATGACTCCCCCTCCTACCCAAGCCCCCCGCTCCTTCCCAGAGCAGCCACGGTGAGCCGCGCTAACGGCCGGTTTACAAGCAGGGGTGTTGACGTGCCTTGTGGACATACAGTTGTTCTCGGCCACTCCTTGAAGAAGCCGGCGGGGGTCTGTCCAGCCTCTTGCTCTCCCACCTGGCGGTGCCTCCACCTGTACGTAATCAGTGCCCCCGATGGGTGTCCAGGCCGTTTGCAAAGTTCTGCTATTATAAACAGTGATGCAATGAATTTCCTGCACGTTTTCCCTTGTCACCCATGTAAGTGTTTCTGTGGTGTAAATTCCTAAAAATGGAATCGCTTGGTCAGAGGGCAGGTGCAGCGAGCAGTCTGACAGCTTTCCAGCGGCAGGGGCTGCTCCAGGGTCAGAAGGAGCTTTTAAGAAGTGTTGCTAATGGAGCCGAGTGAGTTTCGGGGACCAGGGTGAGTCCTCCGCCCCAGGGGGTTTCCAGATGGGACACCAAAGAGGGGAAGCAGGAAGAGGGATGCTCTCGCCATCTCGACTCTGATGCTAGATCTCCTCTCCTTCTCAGGACCTGCCACTCTTGCTGTGCCCATTTTATAGATAGCAAACCCCGAGTTCCAGAGAGGTTGATTCACTTGCCTGAAGCTGCCCAGCAAGCAGCGTTTGAACCCCGGTCCCAGCCTGGGTGGAGTCCTCTTGGGTTCCAGGATCCCAGCTCCCTGCTGGACACCTCACGGATCCTTTCTTTACTGGTCCCTCTCAAAGGCTCTCATGTTCCCCCCAGAGCTTTCTTTTGGCGAGTTTCTGAAACTCGTCTTCCCTTCCTCGCGTCTAGTGCTTCGGCTCCTCCAGTGGCAGAACCATCCGCCTGTTACTTTTCTCCTTTGTTGTTTTCATCTCTGCTCCATCTCTTTGCAAGAGCATCTCGGTTTTTGACCACCGTTAGTCTCATTGATTTTCAAATTTTCTTTCTTTTTGGGGTAACGTCCCTTTTGTTCCTGGAAAAAGACGATACACCTTCATTGTAAAATAAATAAATAAATTCAAGCAACACTGGAAACCACAAGCAAGAAGATGAAAATCACCAACGCCCCTCACCCACAGATGACTATGGTTAACGTTTGGTTGCCTGTCCTTCTGCAGATTCTAAACATTTAATGTTTTGAGCCAGCCCTGACAGCCTAGTGGTTAAAGTTCAGCACACTCTGCTTTGGTGGCCCCAGTTCGGTTCCCGGGTGCCAAACCACACCACTTGTCTGTCAGTAGCCATGCTGTGGCGGTGGCTGACACTGAAGAACCAGAGAGACTTACAGCTATCCACAACTATGTACCGGGGCTTTGAGGGGGTGGAGAGGAAGAAAAAAGGAGGAAGATTGGCAACAGATGTTAGCTTAGGGCAAATCTTCTCCTGCAGAAAAATAAAAAATAAATAAGTAATTTAGAATTTTATTCTAAACATTTCTAACCACCCACTCTAATGGTAATGATAAGGAAAATCTCTACCTTTCTCCCTAAAGGTGGGGTGTATGAATCACCAGACATGAGTTCCCTCCCCTCCAGTGCCATCACTGCCCACACCTTTGCCTGGGCCTCTGCTGCTGCTTCTGCTCCCAGGTTGGAAGCTGCTGTTCCAGCTCCAGGGAGCAGACCCTGCAGGGCCGGCACCAGCTAACTGGTGAAAATGGTTTCCCCACCTCCAAAGAGATTCCACCCACTCGCTCACACTCAGGGAGCAGGAATCTCACCCCTCACCTGCCGGACACCGAGAGGCTGAAACCCAGGCCGGTGTGTGTCTCCAGCTTGTGGAAAGGCAAGTTGGTGTCTCTCTGCTGTGTCCTCTCTCCCACCGCCACCCACTGTCGGCAACACTGACTTTGTAAGCGCAGAGCTGACGCTGGCCTGGGCCTGGGTGGTTGGACAACCCCAGGCGGTTTCCATCGGGCCCTCCTCCTGGGGGGCCCTTCACCTCTCGGGAAGAAGGGGCCGCAGTGGCCTGGCCTGATTTCCCTGGGATGAGGCATGACTTGGGGGTGGCCTGGTGGCGCTGGCTCCAGAACCCAGCCCAGCACAGACGTGAGGGGGAGATGTAAGGGAGTGGGACGATGGGGACCCTCAGGACCCTGCTTTGGGGCCTGTTGGAGACACAGGGCTCTGGCACTTTGGGGACAACATCCACTGGGGAGTGGCAAACACAGCTGTCACTCCCCGTGGGGGCAGCAGGGGCCCCTGGCTGAGGGGGGGAGTGTGCGTGGAGGGCATGGCTGTGCCCACAGCATGGGCAGCTCTGCTCAGACACCATGGCTGTCTCCGGCAGCCACTCCTCAGACCTGTTCTCAGATCTGTTCTCGAGCGTCTGTGAGTCCTCCCCCCCAGGGGCCCAAAGAAACCCCTGGGGACAGCTTGACACTGATGGTGAGTGAGAGCCGATGGCACGCAGTAGGTGACTGTGCTGCATCCTCAGGGGAGGGTGGTGGTTGTCAGGAGCGTGGTTTTGGAGTCAGACAGACCCAAGAGTGTCCTAGGTGAGCCTCGTACTGGCTGTGTGACCTTGGGCAAATTAGTTAAGGTCTCTGGGCCCCAGCTTCCTCATCCACACTGTGGGTACAGCAGCATCCACTTGGCGGGCCCATTTTGGGGACTGAAGGCAATGACCCTGTGAAGCGTTCTGGGCCTGGCGAGTCCTCCCAGAGCCCTCCCTAAGTTGAGCTTCTGTTTTTGTTCGCGCTTGGGGTGGTGGCTGGCGGGAAGTTGCGTAAGGGGGGCACTTCAGGAAGCTGCAATCCACTGACCCAAACGGCTCCTAATGAGTCACAACAGTGGGTTTCAAACTGGGTTTTTTACACCCACCTTCCTGTCTCAACCGTGTGCCTTATTCTTTCTCAAAATAAATCTTAGTGATCGATACTGCGCCAAGCGGGTGACAGCTGAGGGCCCACTCACCTGGCCCTCTTCACCCCCGCCCCCAAGGCCCCCTGGGGTCTACACAGGCTTGAAAGCCACTGCTTTAGGCCAGCCAGGGTGTCACTGGCTGTAGGAAGTAGAGGTGGCAGATAGATATACCGGGAGGGGAGAGTCATTTTCCCAACAGATTTCTCACTGGGCTTATGTAAAAACACGGAAAGAAGAGAAGTCTTCAGATCAGGGACTGGCGTTTCTGAGGCTCCTGGAGGGCCTGAGCTCACTAAGCTGGGACAGCCCTGACTCCGAGGGCCCACCTTCCTGCCAGGTGGCAGTGACGTGGCCTAGGATGTTCCTGTGGGAAGCACGAGGAGCTGAGCGAGGACACCCTCTGTGTAGCCAAAGCCAGACCGGGCCAGAACCCCCATCAGCCACCGGCCGGCCGCCTGACCTGGGGCGAGTCCTGGCTCAGAGCCTCAGTGTCCTCATCTGTAAAATGGGGCTGCCTCTCTGGGCCCCGGACAGAGGGATGTGGGAGGACGCAAGGAGCTGGCGGCTCCAGCATGCCGGGCAGCTTGTGAGTAACAGATCAGTAGCGCTTGTGGGGTTAGTAACAATAATAAGGATCCCAAGCAGGTGGGGGCCAAAAGGAACCTTGGAACTCTCATCCCAGACGGGAACTGGACTGGGCTAAGGTCAAAAAGCCGGGTCAGGGCTCAAACCCGGGACCTGACCCCCGGGCCTCAGAGCCCAGAAGGGGCAGGCCGGTGGAGTGGAGCCACTTTCCACCTGCAGCATCGCAAGCAGAGAAAGGACATAGACGCCCTCAAAGGTTTGCTCAGGAGGTCAGGGCTGCCCCGCCCTGCTTCTCTGGTTCTGACCACTCCCTGCTCCCAGAGAAGAGCTTCTGGCCTCCCCTCCTGCTGCTGTTTAGTTGGGCAACCTGGAGGCTACATGGGGGCTGGGGGTGGGGGAGTTGGACACGGGCGACACAGAGCAGGGAACAAGTGCCACTCAGACCCTGACATGTGTGCACCCTTTAGCAGGTTGCAGGGGGAGGACCCTTGTCCTTGGTCAAGGGGAGGGAGGCGTCACAGGCCCAGTGTGCAGAAGAGGAAACTGACGCACTCTACTCAAGGCCACAGGTGACAGTGGCTGTGGCTTTTTCACCTGACACACTGTGACCAGGGGGCTGGGCGTGCTTCTCCCCTCTCCTTGCGTGACTGTAGGGACCCACATGGTACCTGTATGACTTGTTCCCTCGGCCATCCTCCTTTGTGCCTGATAAGCTGTGGGCATTGGTCAGAGGCCTTCAAACCTTCCGGACTCCCTGACAGCTTTGAGAGCGGGTTTGGCCCTAGAGAACAGGAGCTTGGTCCCTGGTCCCACCCCACTGAGGGGGAAACTGAAGTTCAGCAAGCTGAGGGGCTTGTCCTAGTCCCGTGGGAAACAGAAGTTCCGTGGGCTTCTGGCTCCAGCCCCCGCCATCCTGGGCCCAGCCGCTCCCCACCCAGCTCCTATCTTCCCCCCAACGCCAACGTCCCCAGTCCTCTGGAGGAAGATTTCCGTGGTCCCGGTTGGGGGTGCCAGACTGCCAGCGACGAGTGTTTTTTTAATCCCAGCCCCGCTGACTTAGCCGATTATTCTTATTTAAGGCAGGGAGGAAACCGAGAGCGTGGCAGCCCGTCACCTCCGGGCGGCGGCCCCTCCTCGCGGCCCCCAGTGCCCAGCTCCAGCCTCAGCAAAAGAGGGAGGGGGCGATGGGAAGCAGGAACAGGGAAGAGGAGGAGCGGGGGACAGGAAGGAGAGGATTAGGAAGAGAGCGGAGGGGGGAGGGGAGAAGGGGGGAGGGGAGAGATGGAGGAGGGGCAGGAAGGGGGAGGGGGAAGACGGAGAGGGGGTGCACGGAACGGGACACCCCCCTTGGCAGCTCCCTGAGCAGAGAGGAGAGAGGGAGATACACAGATGAATAATTTACTACGGAAATACAGAAAGAATTTAGAAATTCTCAATTTATAAATATTTATTTTCCCAAGTTCGCCCCCTCCTGACTCTCTCCCCCTTGCTGGCCCTCGTCTTTCTCTGTGGGGCCCCCCCTCACTACCCCATCTCTGTGTCTCTGTCTCTCCCTGTCTCTGTATAGGGCTGGGACCGTCTCTCTGCCCGCTGCGGTGGTGGGGGCGGGGGTGTTTTCGTGTCTGTCTCTCTTTTCTCCGCCTCCACTCTCCCTCCTGCCTGAGTCGTTCCCTCCCCGTGCGTCTCTCTCTGTCTCGCTGTCTCGCTGTCTCGCTGTCTGTCCGTCTGTCCGTCTGTGATGCCTCTGTGCCCCCCAGTCTCTCCTATCCGGGGACCCCAGCTCACGCCCGCCGGTCCCAGGGCAGGAGGACGCGAGGCCCGGAGGAGGGGACCCCGGGATGGGGGAGCCCTTCCAACGATCCGAGGGGAGAGGTCGTTTCCCCGGCAACCGGCGGGGGATTGGCGGGGCCGCGGGGGCTGCGGATTAACGCGCGGGCTCAGCGAGCGAGGGCGGGGGCGGCGGGGAGCCACGCCCACGGCCACG